GTGGGGGGGGGGGGGGAAGGTGTGCCAGTTTAGGAAAGGATGCCCCAATGTCTCTCTTGATTTCCCCATCTGTAATGCAGGTGATTCTATTCCACTGAGCACATTCCTGTAGAGGGAAGAGGGAATGGCCTTGAAGGACAGGAGGAAGGGCTGCTACCAAGGCAGATAAGAAGAGTTGGAGCCCGGGCCAAGAAAGTAACTTGAGAAAACTTTTCAGACAAGCCCCTCCCTAGTTCACATGAAGATAAGGGGAGGGAGGGAGGGAGAAGCACATCCAGACTTGCAAGATTCTGTTATAAAAGGAGTCCTGACCTACATGGTGTCGGTTTCTTAGTCTGGTCTACTTTGTAGGACTGACAGTTGTAGACCTGGCATTTTATTCCCTGTAAATTAAATGCGGGGGGGGTGTCCATCCTGGCTATGCCTGTGGATTTCTTCTGTTCCCACTACTTTCTGAAGGGTGGCTTTCAACCCACCCACCCCCACCCCAAGTTGTGTGCTTCTGCTATCTTGGCAGCCTGACGCAGGGCAAAAAAATCCACGCGCCAAAGGAATTTGCAACAAAAGGGGAAGGCTGGCACTGAAAAGAACAAAAGAGAAAGGGGAGGAATCCAAAGTGCCAAGATGCATGGGGCCAAATAAAAACTTCTGCTGCTTCTTTTGTTCACAAAAAGAATGTGCAATTTTCAGTTTAATGGCATACCAACAAAACATACCTCTCTCCCACAGCCAAGCCATGAAATACATACACACAGAGTGGCCTTAGCACATGCAGGCTGTGTGCTTACCTGTAAATTTTGTACAGAAATGCTCATCTTTAGAACAATTAATAATCTTTGGACACCCAAGGTATCTTGTGTCATTGCAGAAGTAACATTCCAGCGAAGAAGCTGCATGGAAAAAAGAAACAGGGTTGGCATTCGTTCAGCATCCTGAAACTCAAAATGTCAAGATGGAAGCAGTGACTATGCAGTTGAAGCTCTGATCCTTTTTCACAAGCACGAAGTATGTAAAAAAAACGGG